TTTGAGAGCACGGAATATTAGAGGGCCGATAATTCAATGGAGAAAGTCAACATAACAAACTTGAAAACAGGGCTTTGCTTCGATCAACCACGTGGAGTTAAACACACACACACACACACACACACACACACACACGTATGTACATGTACACACAGGTTGATTGCTGTTCCAAGGCCATCAAAGCTTCAGGTTTGAGAGGAACATTTTCATGGAGGGTATTTCAGAACAGGGCTTGGAGGAAGGATACATGATTTATCCTGAACTTGACAGGCCAAGGTACAATCGGAGGTTGGAGGCAAAAACTCCCAAAGGGAAACAGGGAATTTTAGAGAACAGTGTGGGCATTTGGACGTCTAAGAGTAATACTCAAACAGGAAACACTGATTAAAAGCAGTACTGGTAAGCTGGTAAACTACAAACTATTTATTCACCAGTAAGCATCCAAATACTTAGCAACCTTTCTAGTTTGGCCCCAGGAAGAAACAGCCAGGCTGGCTGTACCTGAGTTTGCTGGCACAAAGTGAAGTCTGCGTGTGTGGAAGAGAGAATTAAAAGGCGGGGTGGGAGTGGCAATGGCAAAATGAGAGCTATAAAAGCAAGCACGTTTTAGTTCATCGGCTCAGTGTGACATGATTACGTGAAAGTTTTCGGTGTAGAAAGCCTAGTTATGGTGCAGTTATACGAAGCCTGTGGCCTGATGGCAATCGGGACACGGACGTTGACATTAGCTTCAGGTTTGAAGAGAGCATAGGCTGGGAGGTATGTAGCAAACGACTGCTGACAAAGGGCAGTAAAGCATTTCTGTCTTCACTCTACCCACTCCCACTCCTACCTAGAAGTAGGTCTCAGTGCCGACCATTGGCTCGTTCCTTCTTCCTTGAAGCTTCTTTTCCGGCAACCCGCAAGTTCACAATTGCTAACATTCCCTTGAGAATGGCTGAGAAAGGGAAAGAAGGAAGCTACACTTGGAAAGAAGATTGCTTGGTAGTTTATTTACAATAGAATGTAAGAAAAAGGAAGTTATTAACAATAATAAATAACTGGGGGAAAAAACCAACAACACAAAACAGCCATAAAATGACACAGGAGGATGGCACGTATGATGATCAAACCTTGCTTGCTCTGCTCGTAGTCTGTAACACTGTGCATTCCAAAACTTGGTCCTTCGGCAGTGGCAGTGGTATTTTGACTCAATAGATGTAACTAATCCAGATCCCGGCTTGAAATGTAAACACTAAAAAATTACACTCGAAGCCACATGTAAGGGGCATAGAGATAACAACAACTCAAAGAACCTCTTCTTGGTGAGGACACAGAAACTGAAGAGAAACTTGCAATTCGACAGACGTTTTCCATTTTAAGCAAAAACATCCAGAGGCTTATCCTAATGCACTTGTTAACAATGACATTATAACGGCATCTGAAAAATTCTTAACATATTCACATTCTCTTATTGCACTAACTCCTAAAAAGCTTAAACACTTCTATTTCAAATGCAAACAGATTGTTTTGAAGGTAGAACACAGAAGAACCCAGTAGGTGTTGTCTCTGCATGCCAACACTGTGCTCTCGAGTAACACTTCAGTTTCAGCAAGAATGGAGAGTTTAAATGGTCTATTTATGATCAACTGCAGTTATTAAACAGACCTTTTTTTTTTCTTTTTAATTTCAAGAATTATGGCTCAGATGGCAGGTTGTCACCTAGCCTACTGAGTCAGATGATCAGAAAGGGACTAAAGCTATTTAGACAATTCTTCTCTATTGGATTATCTGAATACACATTCTATGTGACTAAATTATACTCTGGCCCTTGTAACAAGTAAAATTCCTATTGACGTAAGCCAGCCAGTGACCTTGTTGTTTCTGAGGCCACGCAGAGATGCTAAGGTAAGTAAAATTGGAAAACACACATAAAGACAGTAGTCTTGAAATTTTCACGGAAAAATGACTTCCTGAGAAGTGTCAGAATCTTTTCTCTTAGGTCACTGTTGATGACAGTGTCATTTGCTTTTGGAGGTCTTGTGTTTTTTTAAGTGTCTGCGTTCATTCGACACCCACAACTGCACCCCTTAGAGATTTATTTTCACAATCCAAAACATGGGTATTAAATCCTCCCAAATTAAAACCATTTCCCCCCACACACAGATGCAAACCCAAAGCAGAAGGTTTATAACTTAGTTCACCAGCAAACTCTTTCTGTTATTACGTTGGTAACTGAAAGACGTCACAGACTCCTTTGTTATGCTTTTCCTTTGCTTTGCTTTATTTCAGCCCAACTGTAGGAAAATGCGATGATCTTCAGAGCTCATCTCAGAGAAAGTCTGTGCAGTAAAAACACGGAGACCTTCTTATCCTGGGACAGCACAGCCAAAGCGACAATGCTGTATTATAGCCAATGAGAAGCACAGGGGTATTTCACCATTTGAAATCCATCCAAAGCAACGATATTTATGGCCATTTTGATGGTCTCCACTAACGACAGAGATAAAGATGGGGTGAACATATGTGTTCTTCTATGGATTATTTATTTTAATTTGGCTACCAGAGACTTAAAACTGGTGGTGTCTGATTCACTATACTATATTTATATATATACAGGTATAATACAATTTCGGTGAACAAAGTTGAAGGTTTCCACATTGCAGACAGAGGCACTGAGTTAAGATTCTATGTTTCCCCAAACATGCTTAATAAATTCAAGTTTCGGCTTTGTTTTCTTCTAAGTTTCCATCATGCAAGCATTTAATTTCCATCCTTATAGGAATTATTAATGGTGTATATATACACGTTCATCGCAGGCTTGTATCGCACAAGAAACAGACTCATGTATGGAGAATATGAAAGGACAGGTGAAAAATCAAGATAGACAAAATATTGAAGTCATTTATGCCTTGTGATGACCGGATTAAATATTCAAAGCAGCTAAGGGAATATTTGCACCCCCCACCCCCTTGTTTAAATGCACACAAACCACATGTAGACAGGAAAAACTGAACATACTTGGAGTGCACACACATTTGTTGGCTAAAAACCACACGATCATTGGCAGCTTTGAAACTGATGTCTGTGTTACTGAACTGGCTACAGGAGAAAGAAAACTCACAGAAAGAAATCAGAAATCAGCTTTCTAAAGCACATAGCATTGTTGACCTTGATAGCAGAAGCTGCTTTACAAAGAAAGAAAAATGGCAACGGTATTAATGGAAAAACTGGGTGCCAGATGTGTTAACAACCTGCACAAGATAAATCTGTTCTGTGCAAAAATAACGATCCCGCCCCATCCTGGCAAATTTCAGCTGGCAAACAGTAAGCAAATACGTATACTAAGTCAGTGTCTTCTGAGAGTAGAAGTTTGCACTCGAAAGCCACACATTCTCATTAAGTACTACTGTGTGGAGAGGGGACCAATGAGCAAGTCCAAGAGGTTTGAGAAGATTAAGTTTTCCCACAGGCAAAAATCATGCTACTATACCATGCAGAGAGGTCTTACTACATGTAGCGCCGTCATTCTCAGGGAAGAGACGCACTGTGGATCTAAGCTATTTGCAACTGGTTTCCTTTGAGTTCTGGGTTTATTTACTTATTAAGCTCAATGTCAACCTGTAGATAAAGAAATGATCTTGACAGTCTGACGTAGGACTTAGAATACTCGGTGCTGGGTTCGTGGGGCCAGCGCCTGCACCTTGGGAGAGTTGATCAATTGGAAAGACACTATGCAGCGTGCTGAGCGCTGAGAGAGAGAAGCAGGCAGGGTCCACTGGCTGAGAGGCTGTGTGGGAAGGAGAACACGCTCCTTGGTTTCTGTTGTTTCCTTTGGAATCTGTGTTTTGGGAAGGTCCCTTTCCTGAGGTTGGAGGTTATGGTCAGGAAGGCTAGCTGGGGCCTCGGAGTTGCCCAACTACCTTGTCGTCTTCCTCTCTTGGAGGACAAAAATAAATTCTAGGTTCTGCTTGCCCTTCCTTCTGCGTTTAAAGGCAGTGAGGCGCGACGATGGCAGAGTTTTCTCTTTAGAGCAAAGGAGAGTTCGCTTTCTGCCACTTGGGTTGAACGGTCTTGCTTCCTGTCAGCCTGGGTTCTGATCCTGCATTACGGCTACTTGCAGAAAAGAAAGCTAGCCAGGGGGGCACCTTTTCTCATGCTTCCTGTATACTCTACAAACAGGAGTCATCAATTCTGCGCATTCACTCCGCCCCTCCCTCCCCCCTCCCCCGACAGCATTTACTCCACTTCTACAGCATTCCCAATATTTGGATTTCAAGTAAGAGCAAGAGAAGGACAGTCTTTTTTAAGGTCCGGTGATGGGCAATCTGTTCCAGGGAAATCTGGATGCTATGAAAAGTAAAACCTGGAGAGGGATGGGAGACAGTTCTCTTTTTCAGGGTTCCCAAACCAGACATCGTGACAGTGCTAAAGTCCAGTCAGCTTAGACTACCCCTGCGCTTTTTAGAATAGACAAAGAGTCAACGAATTCTACTCAATTAATTGCAAATACTGTGAACCTTAATGGATGACGGAAGGTGACAATTCAGGGTTTGTTGGTACCTGTAGAGAAAAAGGACGTTTGCCTCACCTGGGCCTCTTGGTTCCTAAACCAAGCCATCCCCAAATCAGTCAGTTACAGCCAAACTCATCCATGCAATTCTGAAAGGTTTCTGAGGCCACAAGGGCACAAAGGGGGAAGTTATTAAAAGACAGAAACAAGTGGAATCTTTATTAAATTCTGCGAAAGGTATAAATAAGTTCTCATTAATTGCACTTGGAGCCTCTATAGGTTGATAATTAAAATTTTCAAAAAATTTAAAGAGTTAATTAGGCCCCAAATCCTGAGTCAGATTAATCAAAATAGGAATCTCAGTTAAGTACTAGTATTCAAGTCTTGGCGATAAACAGTTTGAAATCGAACAGTTAGGTATGTTATGCCTGAGAGTATTTTTGAGAATTCAGGTTTGATGAGAGGAGACTGACTTCACTATTTTACCACCCCTGTTAACAGTGGCCTAAGGTTTTCATTTATTTACTCTTTAAGTCCACACCTACCTCATCAAATGCTCAAAAACAAGGCTTCCTGCCTTCCTCCCGGCTTCCAGCTGTGGTTACAGAAGATTCCTTCTGTCCTTTGCAAGCCTTACATTTTACATCTAGTATGATGCTGTGTGGCATACTTAGGGAATCGTATTATATGGGAAATTACTTAACCACATGCATACTCAGAGATCGAAAGAACATGGTTGAGTGACAAAGCAGTCTTTTTCTCTATCAGAAGATTCTTAAAAACAAACAAACAAACAAACAAACAACCCAACAACCCAAATGAAAATATAAAAACCCCATGAAAGATTCATAGGAAGTTACTCTAATTTGGGCCGACATGGCTTATCTGAAAAGTGTATGCCAGGTAAATTCAGGGTGGCTTTTTTCTCAGGGTCTGGAAGCGTGAGAGTTTCTGGGGCTGACTTTTTCCGGGGTCGATCTTTGGGAACGGACAGAAATTCTGGTGCGTCTGTGGAGAGAGGTGTGGACGGAGCACTGGAAGGGGCACTGCGGACTGAGGAAGGCAGCAGGGGGATGCTCGAGATAGAAATCGCAGGAGGGAAAACGCCAATTTTCCTGTTGGTGGCTTCCTGAGTGGCTCGTTCAAATTCTCGGACTTCATCCATTGTCATGTCTTCAAAGAAAAAAAAAAATAGAAAAATGACCAGTCATTTAGAAGAGATGCAAATGGCTTTATCTCTACACCTGATTTTAAGGGAACTACGGGAACTGTACCATAAAGAGGTCTGTCCAGATTATAAACCAAAAGTAACACTGAAATGCTAAACCCTAAAAAAATTTTTTTTTTTTTTTTACTAAGGCAAACCTCTGGGGAAAAAAAAAAATTCCTTTATGAATATCCACCCAAGATTTTCCAAAGCATTCTTCAGTGAGTAGTTTAAATGTTCTGAATTAGAACTGATCAGCAGAGTACAGAACCAGACTCTGTGTGTGTGTGTGTGTGTGTGTGTGTGTGTGTGTGTGTGTGTGTGTATGCGTGGTGGGTATGGTATGATATATGGAGCTATTATTAGACCTATCTTTTCTATAAAGGGAAGGCAGTTAAAGCCATCAATGGCCCAGGAATGACACATATTATTACCTACTTTAGGTCATGCAAGTATACCTTTATAGGGTAAAACAGGCAAATCATCAGATTTTCTTCTTATTCAATAAATGTATTTTTTTGTATTCTGGGGGTTACTGGTTTCCTGACTGTGAACCCATCCTGACTATGTATCCATCCTGTATTTTAATTAATTCAGCTTAAAAAAACAGGTAAGATAATGACAACAACAAACCCTGCTAATTTTCCCAAAGCCAAGAAAAATAAAGCCATTTTTCAAGGAAACATACAAGAAAAAAAGCATTCAAGAAATAAACTCAGTGATGCCCCGTGTAAGAGGAATTGCCAGATGATGGGAGATTTTCTAAACACCTGAGATGTTTTTATTTAAGTGAGAAAGTAAAAAAAATATATCTATTTTAAATGTAAATCTTTCCCTAATCTATTTATTTCTTAAGCAGATTTTATTTTTAAGTAATGTCTATGCCCAACGTGGGGCTTGACCTCACAACCCTGAGATCAAGACTTGCTCACTCTACCAGCTGAGCCAGCCAGGACCCCACCCCGCCCTGCCGCTCCGGCCATATATTTAATGTATTACATACACTTGCTACCATTTAGACCTAATATGAAAATCACTGTGCTACAACACAGTGATGACTCCTCTATCATGGCCTTTTTTTTTTTTTTTTTTTTAATAGTTTGAGATCTCTAGTTTTCAAAACTCTACGGCTATTACCATCATCACTATTGTTACGGTTCTTATTAATCACTCTCTGGCTATCCCTGGTCCCCTTTGCCATTTTTCCTTACTGGGAACAGAGAAAATAGGTAACTGGGCTTATTAGAAAAAGCACTGAGTGGAAGTCTAAGGGCTTGTCCTTGAATAAAAGGTGAAAGCTATTGCCCATGGATTTTCTACATGTATTTTAACTTCCCACAGACCCGTTTTTCATTCTTGTCCTCTCCCATGCACCGAGTGGTAGAACCATGAGATGACAGTGCATCAGCTAGCAAGGCGCAATACATCCACTTTGGAAATATTAATTATGGAATGAATATTCATAACATGGTATTACTCATTAGGAGATATATATGCATATATGAGGTCATATCGTAACATGAGCAGTCCAGAAATGTTTCTTTGGGTGTTGAGTTTGATAAGTTCCTTATAGATTTTGGATACTAACCCTTTATCTGATATGTCATTTGCAAATATGTTCTCCCATTCTGTCGGTTGCCTTTTAGTTTTGCTGATTGTTTCCTTCGCTGTGCAGAAGCTTTTTATTTTGAAACCAGAAATATTTCTTAAAAAACTAAACCCTTAAGAGGATTTCTTGGGAGCAATTGTTAAAAGATTCTGAAAGGGGAAATTTATAAAGTAAATACAAAATTACGATCGTATCGATATCGTAGAAAATTTAGACTATAACAAGAAAAATTGTACCTATAAATTTACCACTTAAAAAATACTAAGACTATTAAACAAGCTAAGAAATGAGATTGAGTTTTTAAAAAAGAAGGATTTACTCCAAAATATAATTGAGACTCCCAGAAAAATTTTAGTCAATGGAGTATGTTTCTGCTATCATAAATAAATGTCATCTTGGAATATTAGACTTTCTAGTGGCTAGTATAATGCTCTACTCCACACATCCAGCAGGGGGCAGAGAGCATCCAAAATACAGAATTGGGTTTTTACATTCCCAGAGTCTCTTAGAAGTTCCCTTCCTTGAAGGCACTGAAACTGCTCAGTGGAAAAGAAGACTGTTATTTTCTTATTGCCGTGTTCATGGATGCTAATTTTGCATAATTTCAACCTACCACGTCCTGTCTGAGGTTGAGGATTTAAACTTTACTGAGCACGCATGCAGTTTTTATTTGTGACGGACAGCGGCCTCTTGATGTCAACTGTTTTTCATTATGATAGAGAAGAAAGACAATGGAAAAATAAATGGTCCCCAATTTGATGGAATTCCAAAGCATAAGGGAAATGTCGTCAGCACTCAAAATAACTGCTTTGTATAACTTCTGAGCAGATAGGCATCTCTTATGCTGAAGTCATGGGAACCACAGTGAATCTCAGCCAGAGAACACATGGGGCTTCCCCATGGGAGAACCATCTAGGTACCACTGTCTACATACATAGTAAACGGACTTTCTAGTGGTAATCATCACAGCAAAACAGAAAGAAAACCAAACAAACAGCCGTAAGCTATAAACTATAAGAGCCTGGAATGAGAAAAGCGCTTTGCTTAGTATCCCTGGGAATGTGGCATTTCTCCCCCTTTGCCCTGGCTTCCTTTGTCTGGTCACACTTCCAGCAAAGCAGCTTTCAGAGCGCGGCTGAGCGAGCGCTAGCATCTAAGATTCCAAAAGGAAAGGGAATAGAAAATGATGAATATTCAAGGACAGTGTCTTTAATGAGCATTTCCAATGTGGGCACAGGGACAGAGGAAAGGGGGAGGTCCTGCTGGGACTGGCCTGTGCATAGAGAGGAACACCCCAGTTAAGTCTACCCAACAGTTTTCCGCAAATCCAATCAATCACTGCGTGCAACATGGGGAGGAAAGGTCAGGGCCATTTCGGCCTCAAGGACAGCCACACACACCCGACAGGAACAAACGAGCCTTGCGGGGCACACACCAAACACATGCTCTAAAAACTGAACTAAGAATTTCCAAAGTGCAACCAAAGATCTTCACAATTCCGAAGCGCCCATTTACAACAATGGCCGTTGCTCAACTTTCCACAACTAGGTTACCAGTTTCTTAAAAATCTAGTATGTTCTGTCCTGGGGCATGGGCCAGCTGACAGGCAGGCTCAAGCCGATACCCAGAGAGATCACGGCTCTGGCCAAAAACACATACAAACAACTTGATGATTACATTTTCTTCGTTATCTGTATCTCCCCTTCATTCCCACCAAATGATTGGGAGGAACAATATTCAAAACGCTGACATACACCATGCAGTCAGCTCTCAATGTCCAATGTGCCACTAAATAACCTGTGGCTCTCTGAGTCTCATTTTAAGTCCCAGGCTGGACGTGCTACATGGCCCAGCACGTTCCCAGCTCACCACACCTTCACCGCTCAGCCAGTGCGTGCACAGATTGCACCCCATCTTGAGATGAACCCAAGTAAAAAGGAACTGATTGGCTAGAATAGAACAGCTATAAAGAGCCATAGAAAGCATTTCAAAGGAAATGTAAAGAAATCTCAAATACCAGATGAGTCACAAGCTGTCCCTTGAATGAATAACTTGAATGCTAACTACGTTCTTAAAAGTTACGGTCACGATGTTCTAGTTTTCCTAGGACTTCTGTTTTCACCCCTGTCTTCCTTCGTGGTGCAGGCCATTCACCAGCCACAAATGTTTCCACTCTCCACGTTCTTGGGTTGTAGGAGTGGAACAACCCCCAAATCAAGCGGCTTTTTGAAGGAGCGAAAAGTCGAGAGGGGGGTGACACTGTCCAGTTTAGACCCAGCTCAGGTTCCTCACCAACAGCCTCTGGGCGACGACGACATGTTTTTGTGGCAGGCGGAGAACTGAACGTTTGCAGTATTTCATATATCAGTTTATGTGTACGTTTGGTAAAGGGTGGGCAACATGTTTTAAAAATTCTACATACACTTGTTTGGGCATGGCTCTCTATGTCATCCACAGTGGAGGAATGCTGATTGCAAACTTTTATGTTGGTTTGTTCATGCATGTTTTTCTCGTATTCCCGAACATCATCCATTGTCATATCTGAAAAAAGGTCAAGACGTTGGCAACTACTGTTATTAAACGCAGACTTTCAAGGGGGAGACTTTAGGGAAAGAGGATAGCGGAAGCCAAAGAGAGGTTTAAAAAGCAGGGGATTCGCTAACTTTATGAAGAGGATGTCATAAAGTTAGCTACACCAGCCAAACGGGGGGTGAGTGCAAGGAAGTGAAGTTGAAATAGTCTTAGAACAGAGAAGAGTGGAAATTATTTAGGGGTGAATCTTGTAACGTGAGCTAGATGGGTAGAAAGTATTAGCACGTGGGCAGAGCCATAGCCTGAGATCTCCTAAAGCGATCGTTAGAAGATCCCTTCGGGAACGGGGTCAGGTTTGTTTGGTTTAATACTTACCTTTCATACACCCTTCAAAACAGATTTGGAGATTTTTTTAAGTCAACGCATTCGACCATAGAAAGGACACTTTCATTGCTAGTGCAGGAGACACGACATAGAAGGCAGACAAACGATGTTTACCGGTACAAAGGATATTGGGCGCAGTGCTCACACATGGATGTATTTCTGCACAGAATTCATAGTGTTGGAGAGTGCGGGTCTACATCGAACTTCAAGTCTAGTCTAACAGCTTGGAGATGGCTGGCATTACTTCCACCTACACTGATCTATAAATAAAATGGCACATGACATTATGCTTTTGGGTCTGAGTCTGTAGTTTTTCAGCATTTCAGGATAACGATCATCTCCTAATCTAGTGGTTCCCAGCAGGGGACAACTTTGTGACAGTTTCGGTTGTCACACCTGGGGTGGTGGTGCTACTGGCATCTAGGGGGTGGAGGCCAGTGA